CGGCGGCGGCGGTGTGCCCCCGACCCCCTCCGTACAGCGTGATGTCGTACATGGAGGTAAGGTGGTCTCCTCGCTTGTTGTACATTGTCGGGTTCCCTTTGGTAAACGATCGGATCAGGTCGGGTCGGGTCGGTTTCCTAGCCAGATTTAATACGGGGTGCCCACTACGGCTGGGATTGGCCGATCGGGCCGATCGCCCGACTCGATCGCCTAAAAAACAAACGTGTTTGTTTTCAGTTTCAGGCGATCGAGTCGGGCGATCCAGCCGTAGTGGGAACCCCGTATAAGGCGCGAAGCGGCTATCGGGGCACAGACCGATCGTCTGACTTGTTGCCTCAATTTGTTTTCAGGCGATCGACCTGACCTGCCCTGACCCGACCCAACTCGACTCGATCCCATCCGCAATGGGCACCCCGTATAATGTGTCAGGTCGGGTTGGTTCACACAAAAACGCAAACCTGTTATTTAAAATACGAAGACTCAGATCTGTGGTTTCCTTCATAACAGCCTGACGGGGATCCAGAGTAAGGTTCAAACAAAAAGTGAAATACACTTAACACTAAGATTAACATGCACATTATTTCCAACATTAGGACATTATCATCATCATCTTCATCATCGTCATCGTCATCATCATTATCATCATCAACACCCACTAAACGATTCCTCTTTTTCTTGTTGCGTCACAACAATTTGCACTATGTCAATATATTTTACGTTACTTACATATATCAGGACACGAGACAAAGAAAAAACAACAACAACCCCCCCCCCCCCACAAAAATAGAAAAAAATCGAATCGAACCGAACCTCTGACCCTTTTTCCTGACGGAGTTTGTAATAACAGCTGCTCCTCGGTTCTGTGACCAGCTGGTCTAAAGGCTGCGGTGTCGTCATTGTTTCCATGGTGATGGCCCTGTAATAAATGTTTTCCTGAAGTTGAAATTAACCTAATATCTATTTATTCTCTTTTGACATATATATACATGTATTATTATTGTAGTTGTATTACAGTCAGTCTCCTTTTTTTATCGGCTTTGCATGAGCATGTGTCGTAGGGATTCTCATTTTTCTCTTTGACCTGTATGTGAAGGAATGGAAGTACGGTCGTATGTGGGGACGAGTTTCGATGAAGAGAACAAAACAATACAAAACTGTCATTTCATGGGCTTACTCTCTCATTAAAATATACTGTGATTTCATGGGCTTAATTTGTTGGGGGAAAAAAACAATACTGTAATTTCAAGGGCTTACTGTCAACCGATTAGGTTGGAACGTTTAGGGATCTTAAAGTGAATTACTTTTTTCTTTTAATCCGCTTTTCGGGCAATATTTGACATGAGTCCGCTAGATTAAGAATGCTCGAATGATGAAATAAAAAGTTCGAAAAATCTTAATTCAACACCCGGAAACGCCCGAAAAAAAAGACGTATAAAAACCTGTTCTGGAAGAAAAATGCGGATCGAGGAGGGTTGGCTGGCAGAGTAGATCTCGAAAAACAATCAAATGGTGAAATATAAATGGAAAGAAAATGATCAAAGAGAAGATAACAACATTTATATAATGACCAATGGGGTTATATAATAATGGCGGAGAAGTCAATGACTGAGAACGATTACACACTTTACAGGAAGGCAAGGCGACAGGCTGCTAGAGCTGTCAGAGAAGTGAAGGAAGGATGAGTTGGTCGCTTTTAAGGAAAAGCTGGTTAACCCAGATTTCGGGGGTTCCAGAAATCATGACGTACACCAAAAGTGGGCTTTGCTCTCTATAGGATAAGTTTGGTTTCATTGGTGTGTGGATCTAGATCTATATTTGTTTGGTTATTGGGAAAACTCTCCTTGTCTTTTAAAGAAACTGAACAAGGGGCAAACATTTTAACTTTGATTTTCTCAAAACAGCATTTTTCCTGATAGCCCCCTCGTGCTTAAAAGCGACCAGTTGTGGAAATCCTGCAGAGAGTAGGTGGCGAGAAAATGCAAAGAGGACTCTAAAGAGAGTTTCAGAAGAGCGTCAGAATCACGCGTATTTGATCTTACGTAAACTGGCTCGATTGTCAAAGTTGAAACATTGATATGAGTGACTGATGATGATGATGATGATGATGATGATGATGATGATGATGATGATGATGATGATGATGATGATGATGATGATGATGATGATGATGTTGATGATTGTTTATTATTATTGCAAATATTTTAATCGTTAATCAGAACTGTCACTGTCGTTGCCTTTGTCGTCGATATTATTATTATGATGATGATGATGATGATGATGATGATGATGATGATGATGATGATGATGATGATGATGATGATGATGATGAAACCATTATTATCGTTTCAGTGCTGTCCAGCCCAAGTCACTTCGCCGCGGGCTTCCCTCAGGTGAACTCTATCGGCTACTCCCACTATAACCTTTACGACAAGGTCAGCCTGATGCAGTCCATGGGCAAGGAGTCCGGTAAGTGGACACAGCGATTTTTGTGTGAGCAATCACACACGCCCACTCACGTACGCCCGCACGCACATACACATACGCATACACGCACAATCACAAACATACACGCGCACACACACAAACACATACACACACATACACATATAGACATACACGTACACGCATATATACAATAATAATAATAATAATAATAATAATG